CAAAACCCCAAAACCCCAAAACCCCAGCAGTCTTAGGACACGAATTAATTAATTACTATTATTTCAATAAATAATAAAATGAACTATAAATGCTTCTCAGACCGCAATGCCTATGTAGATTTGGCTAAGCTCTAGCCAAACTAAGTCTCATACTCTGCCTTAGATAAATAAATAAAGCTACCTATTTATCATCCTTAAGCACTTAATTTGAATAACCTCATAAGACCAAAGATAGTTTAAAGTAACTAAAGATACTTGGCATTTTGCCTATAAGGTGGATAAGTAGAAATTAGAGAGCGAAGTAATTTTGAAAATAGAACTAAAATTTAAACCTATCTCCCTATAAGCTAGTAAGTTAATGACATACTGTTTGATAGTGATGGTATGTTGTATATTTTAGGAAGCAATAAAATACTTTAAGTCTACAAAATAACTGAATCAAATGTATCTGTGTAGAGCAATCTAGTATAATCAATAGAATTAGATGATTCATTTTGCAAGCTTGCTGTATAGCAGGTGACTTAGACTAAAAATGACTAGCAAGTCATTCAGAAATGGATTATTGCTTACAATAGTGAACAGTTAAAATTAATTGCAAAAAGCAATGATGAATTTTTAGATGAAAAATACATGAAGGTCTTAACAAATGATATGATATTTGGCAATAAAGGACCTTAGCCATAGATCTAACAAATTCAGATTGCCAAGTGTGGTTTGATATATCTTATGGATACAATAGGCAGAATCACAGTGATAAATCATGAACTTTAAAATGATGCAAACGGAGTGATATTTATCCATAAAAAGTCAATTGGAACAAAGAGATTTGAAATCCTAAACCTTGATTAATTCAAACCAAATGAAGTTCTTTTAGATGAGATACCGACTATTGCTTAAAAATAAAGCTAGTTCCTAAGGAAAAATCTGCTGGAGCCTTTTGATCTTATATTGGCACAAACTGATAAGTAAGTTTCATCAAATTCATTATATCAACTTTAGTGAACTTAAAATTTGGGATATGAGCAGAGAGCTCAATAAAAAAGAAGGCACATGCATGCTATAGACAAATATAGTCATTGATTCTGCAAGAATAGTTGAAAGTATGGCCAGAGATAACTTTGTATTAATGTTGCATGAATAATAAAAGCAGTTGTATTCTATTGTGAAAATTGATGTTGCAGCTTCTGACACTGTCAAGTTCTCTTAGATTAGCAGCTATCAATTTGATAACAAAAAACTCTCCAATCAAGATATATCAGACTTCACATTTGTGATTAAAAGTAACTAGGCAGCTAAATTTACAGCAAACATTGAGATTTCATTGACTGGTCAAAATATGAGATGCTATCTATTCAAATTCACTAGTTAGGATAAACTCTACTCACAACTATAGGAATAAAACATTATTAAGCAAACATCATTCAAAGAATAATTACTAGCGAAATCCGAATTCTAATAGCTCCTAAAAATATCTAAGGCATCATTAAGCACATATTCATCAGTAGCCTTTGGATTGTTTTCTATTGGATTCAAAGGTCTATAAAAGTTTAGAGAGATAAGTTTGTAAATAAAGGAAGAATAGCAAAGACCAAAGGTTCAATTAGAACTAATGCCACCTGTAAATGAAAGAGCAAGTCCAGATAATAATAATAGCATTAAAGACTCATTGATCCTGGATGATAACTTCTTCTAGATGATTGATAAGAAGTCTATCAATGAATTCGATTACAAGTCTGTTTAAAATAACAGTTTCATTAAAAACATGCAGATTCTTTCAGGTAATGGAGCCTAGCAGCCTCCAACAAAACAAGGCATTTAATCCGCATCATAGGCAGCGGTAAACTCTAACCTACTGACTGATAAACAGATGTAAAAAGTGAATAAACTCTCAAATCAATAGATATAGATGAGTTAGCAGATCACATAACAACTAGAAAAATGCAACTTAAACATGAAAAAGCAGCTAAAATCTCTAAAGCAAGCGTAAAATCTGATCAAGCAAAAGGTGACTTTACAAGCTGAGCTTATTTGTCCAAACATTATAAAAGAGGAGACTGATAAAGTAATGGAGAACTATGTAGAAAAGTCAATTAATTATTTCTAAAAGAGCTAGACTTAGCATGTCAATAGTATGTTCGACAAAATTAGAGCAAAGTACTTATTGTCAAGTGATGATAACTCATAATAGAAATCCAATGCTAATAATGATCAGATAAATCAAGAAAACCCCTAGAGAGATATTTCTAGCTCTGGATCTTTGAATACTTCTCAAAATGATTCATTGATTTAGAAGATTACACTGGAAAGTTCTGATAGATTTAGCACTGACCTAAGTTATGTTATTTGTAATACTTTTGCTAGGGTAACAGAGGAGTTTATCAATGAGCCTTATTAAGAATTAGTTCAAGATTTCTCCATAAAGTAGAGATCATTATGGGAGAAACATTCTAGCTAGTATGATTAGTTAGAAACCAAGATTAAAAGAGCTCTTGATGTATCAGAGTGATTACAGAGTAATTGATAAATCAACATGCTATTGAAGAAGAATCAATATTTAATAGCAACAATTCTAATTAATTTTATCTAATTTCAGATAACTATTTAAGGATACTTGAATTTCTAGCTTTGAGGGGTTTTGGGGTTTTGGGG